GGTGAGACTGGCAGAAACCTCACAACAAGACTGACTGAACACAGACGGGCGACGAGGAAAGGTGATGTCAGCAATCACATTGCTGAACACCATCGACTTACCAACCACAACATTGACTGGGACTCTGCGCAATGCCTAACCTACAGCACTGACTATTTTCAACGACTGACTCTGGAAAGCTGGTTTACTAACTTAGAACAGACTCCCCTAAACAGATGTCAACAACTACCCGCTCCATACAAACGACTCATTCACGACATAAACATCACAAACGACCGAAAAAGAACGACCTAACTTTACCGACAGATCGAAACAGACCAATCACGACCGACTTACGTCACTTGAGTCTTACAGCCAATAACATCACGGCAAAACCAACCGATCATTTCACACGAACTGGAATAAGAACATTCTACTGACAACAATCATTCACTTGACTCTGATGATGACTTCCGCACAGGTTGTCGAAACGTCAGTCACCACCACCGACAACAGTCCTTCTCAGGACTACACTCACCCGGACGATCAGACTACACCTTCACATGTTACCCCCGGGTTCAAACCATTTACTGCAGTATTTTTTATGTTGGGTACAAATAAAGTTGGTGTTGTTGTTGTTGTGAGATAATGGTATTTCAATGTAAAAAAAATGGATTATTTCTCATTACAGAGAAAACCAAACTTGGATCACCTCATAAATACTTGGATTTCGTAGTTGAGTACGCCAACAGTTTCTATACTATAGATCATTTTAGTGTAATGTATAGGAGAAAACCAAGATTCCAAACAAGAAGTGATGAGTGGACATCATTCGGTCTATAGTTGCCAGTGCATGTAGCTGAAGTTACGTTGACAGATTGCAATAAAGTCCCTTGGTGCGGTAGTACAATGATCAGATTGTCATTTGTTTAAACTTTGTTAAAATTTACTCGCTTTTATTAGTATGTATATCCATTTTAGAATACAGTTGACATATTCTCTTTCTTCGTGATGACGAGGAGGCCGGCTACTGAGGGCTTATGTATTCAGCGGGAGTTGATCGGGTTCTGAGCGAGGTATGTGGGTGCCATTACCCTAATTCAACAACAAACCACTCTTTTAATTCTTTATTTAGAGGAAGATTTATTTATTTGTTGGTCTACTTAAAACCTTGCTTCATGTCAAGGTAAAGGTTTAATCAATACGAGGCTATTGTGTCGTATACCCAATCCAACAAGTATCTTACATTGGCGTACACACCAAAGTACCCTTCCTGCGCGCATTTGTAGCCCCAGCTTGTGGCGCCCTCCAAGTGCCATTTGCCGCCATATTTACAGACCAGAGGACCTCCACTGTCACCTTGGCACGTGTCTATCCCGCCTTCATCATGACCTGCACACAACATTGAGTCGTGGATCTGTCTTGGATAACTTTTTACACACCGTTCTTTGGAAACCAGCGGTACTTCAGCTTGCATGAGTTGACTGGCACTAGGCCCTCCAGAAGACAGGGAACCCCAACCTGTCGTTGACAAAAGTTCAATAACACTTTTATTGAACATAGGTGTTAAGAGTACCAGTACAGCTTAAATGATCGAAAGTGCGCCCTAAAAATGGAATTGTTCCTAAGTTTCAGAGAGTCAGAATGAATATTCCCAAAATTTTGTGCGCAATATTTTTAGGGCAAAATACCTGTGATCCAGCATGTCTTGCTGCCGTCATCAATTGGTAGATCAACAGAAGTATCCGGAAGACAAGCGAGTCCCACAGCTCTGTTTAGCTCCGCAGGTCTGCTAAGCCTCAGTAACGCAATATCATGACTCATACCGAACGGTTTCTTGTAGAGGTGATGCATTATGATCCTTTCAATCTCAATGTCTTGAGCCGTTGGATCATTTCCCTTTTTGTTGTGAGCTCCCATTCTGTCGATTGAAACAATTGGGTATGGAGATACTGAGTTTATTATTACTTGACACATGAAAAAAATAAGTGTATATTGTAATCACTCGGACGGCTCATAATCATAAGGCCATCCATCTCGCATATTGACTGCGAAGTGTCAGATTACAGATTACCTGATCCTGAGATCCACAGCTCTCTTTCTTTTCACACAGTGTGCCGCAGTAAGAACCCATTGTGGAGCTATCAAGGTTCCTCCACAGAAACTTGCTCCTTTGTTGTATGATGGACGATATTTGAGCATTGCCTGCCACGGCCAGTCACCCGCACGGGCCTGGGTACCACCGACAATTCGTGACTCTGGTTTTATGCCACATGAACCTTGGCATCGAGAGATAATATTAAGATCAGTATCCGGGGAAGGACTGAAGAATATTGGTTAATAATCTTAGAGATGATCACTCGACTTCTCGGCGATTATTTAAGGAGAGGCACTAAGGCCGAGGACAGAGACTGTAATTAACAGTCAGGCCATAGTTGTTCGAAGGGTGGATAATGTTATCTGCGGGGGTAAATCTATATCGGGCGCGGGTGGAGAGCCTAGTGCATTTTGTTAACACTCATACGCTGGATAGCGGTTTATCCGTTGGATATCGGGCGCGGAT